AGTGTTCAGTAAATACGGGTTGCATGAAGGGATTTCAAAGAACACGGTTACAGTTCCACTGAACTCTGGTTCATCTAGATTTCAGTACCATAAAGAGATTCCTTTTTCCCCCTCATTTACCCAATTCCCTTTGCTGGTGCTATTCATAAAATTCATAATCTGGTTCTGAATACCCTTTCTCATTTAATTATTGTTATAATGTTGCAGTTAGTAAAAGAAAGAAACATTTTATGAAATGAAATTAAATCAAGACATAATAAATGCTGAGTACAGAAGACGCTGCAGGCAGGCTCAGCACATGTCCTGTTAGTGCTGGTTCCAGACCTGAGTCCTCCCGGTCAGAGGGTGTCCAGCTTCCGTCTCTGGCTTCTACTGTCCCGTGGGATTGAGAGAAGGGCCATGAGGGCAAACACCCAACTGTGTTTCTATAGGGCTGCCCTTCCTCTGCTGCCACAATTTTCAAGTAGGGCTTGGGGACACTGGATTTAAGAGCAAGTCCGGTGGTTCTATTTTTATTTGCAAACAGGTAAAAGCCAAAGTTATACTGCAGAAAATGTGGCTTCAAAGGTTAGAAATATTTCTACTTTTTTTTTTACCCACAACTGATACCTCTGTGTTTTCTACAAGTTATTTATCCTTGAAACTTTTTTCCACTTAAATAGTTTTTTTTTTCACATTTCAGACTCATTGCAGAGATTAAACAAGATAAAGTGTAGGCATTAACTAGCTTACAACAGTCATACAGTCATTCAGGAAATTGTGGGATTTGTTTTCTCTCTGAGCATCATTCAGAAACATCAATTCCTAAATGGATTCACACCACCCAAACTGCACACATCCACACCTTCTTCACTGTAAATTGGCTTACAGAACTTGCTTGCATCAGGGGCTGGATCAAGCAGTGAATAGTGTTGGGGAGAAATGAAGTGGTAGGCAACATACACTCCATTTGTTGGTTCCCATTTGGTATCCATACTGAGTCCTTTGTCATGACTCAGGGCTGAACCAACTGCTTCCTGGAAGCCCAGGCCACTGCTAACCATACCTTAGGTATGTCACTATACCTCACTGAGCTCCGATATCAACACTCATCTGGGTAATATTACAGCAGTGCCCACAATTCCTGATTGCAAGTGCCTGTGTCACACATCTCCCATAAGGTTGTGTGGGTATGACAGCATTACCCAAACTTGAGCAATACTAGAATTATCTGGAGCGTTTGTTTAAATGTAGATTCCTGGGCCCTGCCTCACAGACGGTTGGAGCAGGTCTGAGGGGATAACAAGTGTGCAGAGGCTGAGGAGCACACAGGACTAGGAGCTGCAGGACTGTGAACACACCCGAGAAGCAAGAGCGCACTGCTTTTAACGCGGTCTCTGGCACATAGTGCTCAGCAATGTTATGCTCCTTATGAAACTTCAGTTACTACTGTTGCTCCTACTTTATAAACTCCTTTTTATAATTCCTGAAATCTGTCTCCTTCCAGTCACCCATTTGCCAATGGATCCACAGAGCATGGACAATCCAGTTTCCAGCAAGATACTATCAAACTTTCGGAATCAGCTCCTTCCCTGATACCTCCTGGGGATTTTCACTTTTTCAGCTCTCAGCCAATTCCAGGCTGTGGGAATTATTTCAAGACCATGTTATGGATCAGGAAATAGAGGCATGATGGAATTGCCTGTTGACCAGGACTTAGCTAGAGGAGGGCAGTATCAAAAATATCTCAGATAAGTAAACCCAGAGATGCCATTAATTCTTTTCACCACTGACCGATTTAATCAAACCACCATGATTTGTTGTTTCGTTATGTTTTCCCGGAATGGCCTTGCATGGTTCTTTGACTTCACTGAATAGCTATTTTGACAATAAGCAGACACAGCCGTAATTGTCAGTAAGAACACTGAGATAGGATCTGTGATAAAGGGGGGGAAAAACAACCAAAAATATCACACTTGGATGTCAGAGATTTCCTGCGAATAGCACCGTGGCCTTGGGGAGTTCTGGTTTTGGAGCATGTGCTTTGCACTGCTGTTGCTCCCCATCCAGATCCTACAACTCAGGGTTGCAGGGGGCTTCTCCTCCCTCCAGTTCCTGGGTTTAGAACTCTTAGCTGGCCTTGCCTCAGCAAGCACTGATTTAATTTAATGCAATGATTCTCAGAGTGTGTCTGTTCTATTTCGTGCCATACACCCTTCCCTTGGCAGCTGCCTGCTCCCCTCAAATGGCCTGATGGAGATTTTGTGTCTGCAGTTTGGGCTGCAGAGGGATAAATGGAATACACAGCAGCTTCATGGCCAGGCTGAGGCTCTGTGTGCAGGGGTCAGTGGCTGCCCAGAATGACAACACAGTCCAGCACAACACAGCTGCACATTGTAAAGAGGAAGAGGTCTCAGCATGGGAGCTCCTAATTGGAAGGGACATTCATAGGTCCTGGGAAGGGAACTAAACTATAGAGATTTCTTTAGGGAAATGCTGGTACTCTTAGTTGTGGTAGTTGCACTGAAGAGAATCCATTCTCCAAGCAACTTGGAAAAGGAAGGCTGGAGGGTTCTGGGCTGGGGGATTACCATTCCATCCTCTAACATTGCAAGCAACGCCTCACCTTTGCAAAAATACTTGAGGTTCCCCTCCAAAAAATATGATCAAAACTGTGTACAGCAACTGTACTTCATATCTGCTGCTTAAACAAATAATAAAAATCCCCTTGACCATTGAAGGGGATTTTATTAAATAAACATCATGAATCATCAGATCCAAGCCTAAGAAGCTATTATCTTGTTAAGAATAAAACTTTCTGAGAAACAGAATCCAAACACCAGTCTCTGCAACTGTAGTCTTGATTCGTAGTATAATTACAACTTCGTGGACAAAGATGCTGTCCACAGCTTGCTGTGCTCCAGAGTGGTGGATTTCAACCCTGGCATCAGGGAGCAGCAGAGACCTCACATGATATGAGGTCATTAGTGTGTTGTTTTTGACAAATGTCTAGCCTCTCCTGTCGATGCACAGGCAATGTCTCCCTGTGGCCCCTGCCACCTACCAGGGTTCACAACCACTTGTCACCCTTCTGGCTGATCTATAGGGACTTCTTCTCTCGTCTCTGGGAATAGAACACCTCTCCCAGTAGAACATGAGATAAAAGTATCAATATGATTCCAAAATTTAGTAAACATAACAGAGCTCCTGCATTGAAGATATTCCTGTTGGTAGGGGTATAGAGGGCTTGTCCTAGCAGCTGAAAGGTGGTGTTCCCCGTCCTTTCCCACTCAGGGATGATGTAGGAAGGAGACTTTGGATAGAGTTCTGCTCAGTGGTAAAGCCCACAGTGCCCCATGCAGTCAGTAGACAGGTTTCTTCACTTCTTTGTCCTTATCTCCCAGTTTTTGGTGAGACTGATATTGCTTATTTGCCTAACCCAGGCTTTGGATCCAGCATAGACAGCAGGGACAGGCTCTGTCCAGTGTGAGTGTCCATCCATCCATCCATCCACTACTATCTTTGTTCAGATTCCTGTATGTCCCAATCCACTGTGGATGCAGTGCTACATCCTCACTTCAGAGTTAAGCCCCTGGGCCTGTCTCCACCCACCCTGTCCAGGCTCTGCAAGGCCCAGGAGACTGACTTTCTCTGTGCTTGTGCTGCTGGAGAGAGGGGTTCTATGACATTCGTGGAATCAGTACACAGAAGAGAAGCCTAGACTGACCCTCCAGGCCAAAGATGGGCCAGCATAACAGGATTCCCCATCTTCTCTCTATTTTCCTCCAGAACCAGGAGCACAGAGCTACACAGAGCAGGGACCCCAAGATAGAAGTAATTTTTCTGCCTCTCATGTCCCTAAGAGGCACTTCCTCTCAGGAGGGCCACAGACAATTTGTGATCATCCTTGACTTTCACCACTCCAGACATACAAGTGGGAAGAAGAAAACCACACAATTTTTTTCTTTGCTCACCAGTAAAACAAATTCCATCAATACCAAAGCCAGCAAGAAGCAACTGCTTGACTCAGCCAGGGAAGCAACTTCAAGCCAAGTAAAAAAAAATATTTTGAGCAAAGGACCTGCCAGAGTCAGCCATTTGCAGCTTCACTCCCAGACTCATAGGATGCACAGGAGGATTCCCCAAGTGCCCCCAGGGATTTTCCACCTGCCCAAGTACACCCTGTGAGCACTGTTAGGCTGACAATGATGCTGCCTTTTGACCAGTTTTGGTTGGGTAATGGTTACAGGTTCTGGTGACACTATAATCTCACATTTTAATTGATAATCTAAGTGTCTTTCTTGGATGGATAGAGATGACTTCTGAATGAACAATCTTCCTCTGCTGGAAAAGTCTTTCAAAATCTGGGTTTCACGTGGGGACAACCAAGAGGGTGTTGTGTAATGAAAAAGGGCTGGGAACTGGTACCTTCATGAGTTTCCCCTGGAGGGAGGGAGGGAGGACACAATTGCACACTGACATGTGCCATTTCCACTAGCACAGCATTCAATGGGATTGGTACACACGACCTACGGTGGAACCAGAATCTGCTTTATATAAATGAGTCTTTAACAAGGAAAGCAAAACTCACATTTTCACCTTTCTCACAGAGTTCCGTGTTCTCTGTGATGTACTTATCTGAGCACTACGCTTCCCAGTCCTGGGGTTGGGTCTGCCTTTGTGAACTCAAGGCCTAAGTGAAAGTCAAGTTCCCAAAGGCCATCTGCTCTCTACCAAGTAGTCATGTGCTTCTGCCATACAGGCTTCCTCTTGAAGGCAGTCCCATCCTGGCAAGGACAGAGCCCTGTCATACTGAGAGATGAAGCAACCTAAAGGATTCTGCTCAGCTCCCCATGAGCTTCCCCAGATTTTCCGAACTTGTTCTCCAGTTGCTCAAATGCTGACCCCCTTTTTGCAGGAGATGAACAGGCTTCCTTGGCTCGCTCTCTTCTTCCTGGCCTGGGTGTGTCTAACGTTAACACCATCATGCACTGGATGCAAATGATTGACAGAGGCCTTACCTCATGGGACAAGTAGAAGGCGGCGATGCCCAAAGGCCAGAAGCAGCAGAGCATGGAGAAGACGCTGAGCCCCAAATGGTCACGCGGGGGCATCATGAGGAAGTTGTCCTCACTCTCTGTGTCACTTGAGTAGTCACTCTGCAGAGAAAACAGGCCGAATAGGAGAGAAGATTAGTAAAGTAATCATCGTCGGGCTGCCCCACAATGTGGGTACCACTCCTGGCTGAAGCAGGCTCGCTGCAGCTGCTCCTGCAGCTGCTGTTGCTTATCTCATTAGTGTCACCATGATTGCCTAGAAACATATAGCCTCAAAACAATGATGCCTCTACTGAGGAACTCTGACCAAGAGCAGGAATCCCAACACAGGATTCTTGGGTAGTTCAACAGTAGTTAAAATCCTAGAGAAACCAATTTCAGCACAGATGGTCCCCAATTTTGGATGACTTAACTTACGAATTTTGAATCAATGATGGATATATGAAAGTATTGAACATAGTTTCAACTTAGGATGTTTTCTACCTATATTGTGATTATTAGGACTCTAATAGGAGCACCTATTTTCAAAGATCTTTGGGATCTTAGTGCCAGGACAGTGAGGGTGAACATGGAAACTATCAGAGGATGGCATTAGGGACTTTCAGAAGGCTTTCCTCTTGTTTTTTTTTTTTTTTTTTTTAAGACTTCTTGCTAGTTTACAGGACATTGCAGGACAAGTATGTATAAAAGGAGAACATGATCTTATAAATCTCCCCTTCCAGTTTCCTTTGACTCTGAATCGAGTCAGGACATAGGGGGTTCTCATGTTCACCTCTAAGCTCCATCCTAAGAAAATAACGGCTGCTTTGGAAGAAGCTACCTTTAGATACTAGTCTTTCTGTGTCAGGGACCATTTATAGGTAGGGCTCAGTCCAGGCCTGACCGAGAATGTCCCCAGAGTTCTGAATTAGGGGGGGATGGGCGACTGGCTGGGCTTAGAAATTTTTTAAAAGAAGCTTAAATGATTCTCAACTTTAGCCAGCAATGAGAATCACTGCCCAAATCTCCCCAAAGGGGCTCATCAGTGTTCCCTGGGTACTCAGTACCAGACGCCCTGCAAATCTCTCTTACCCTAGGTGTCTCTGTGGAGGCCATCTTTGTTTTCTACCTTCTTTTACCCCTGGCTGGCCTCCTATTGTGATTTATTTATTTATTTGTTTTGTTTTGCCTCATCAAAACATGTCCTCTTCACTCTGACTCATCAAAATATCAGGGTCACTCTTTTCCACCTGTTTATTTTATATAAAGATGGAATCATAGCTTTCTCCAGACGTCATTTCCTAAAAAAAAAAAAAATGGTACATTTCATCTTGAGGTTAACTCCCTAACTCCCTTTGCTAGTGGTTGGCAGAGGACCTGGCTGCAGGGTAGAGATGCTCAGGAAGCCATGGTGGTACTTAGGCTATGAGGGGACATCCAAGTGAACACCAGCCTGCCTCCCCACTTGCCCTGGGCCCCCTGAATCCTCTCCACAGATATTCTAGTCACAGACACTGAGGAGGTTCACAGGTGATAATGGTGTCCTTCTTTATTTCTGCAAGTTAAATGCACATAAACCTGCCAGTCAGAGTCTCTAATTCCTGTTCAGAAAGCAGTGGTGCCGAGGTGAGATAATAGGGACTCCCTGTTAGGCTTTTGCTTTTCTCGAGTCAAAAGAGAGAAAATAGGCTCATAAATATCCATGAGTTCATTCAGATAATAAGCAAGGACTTCTCCAGGTGGTACTAGGATGGACACTGGTGAACACACAGAGTCTGTCCACCCCACCACACACAGGTCAGGGGATCTGAAGCATCATTCCAAAAACAAGGGATGTGATCTGCCAGAGGCCACAAGACCAGCTCCCGGCCAAGCTTCCATCCTGCAGATCACTGTTCACTCTCTGCCCGGGTGTGAGTCACTGCCATCTGGTACACTGTCCTGTCAACATGTCTGGGACTATATCGCATCCCATCCACAGGAGCCTTGTCTGTGAAATTTCTATTCTTTTTACTATGCACACCATCTCCCATATGGTCTTCAGAACAGTAAAGGGAAATGAAAATTACCATCATTATGGCTATCAGAGATGGAAAATGAAACAGCCCACAGGGATGCATAATTCATGTGGGGAGATGCAAGGGCCGTGGACGGTCCAGGTGGAGATGAACGATTCCCAGCCCACTGGAAAGTCGGAATCGTCCATCAGAATGAAGAACGAGCAGCACTGAATTGGAATGTATCCACGGCTGTGCCTCTTCACACACAAATAGCCCTGTCACCTCAACGCTTTCCAGATCTCCCCCTGAAAACAAGCGACTTCAGGGTGTCAGGGGACCACTGGTGTTTAAAAGGACTAGTCTGTGACAAACTCACCTCTATCCACAGATCAGATTCAGAGGGCAGACAATCAGGCTGCAGGAACAGCCACTTCCAGCCCTCAAATCAGATTTTGACCTTCATGAGCTTCACATCATGGGTGGTGACAGTGCAGATGGAAATCTTTGCATCTATAAATATATCCATCTTTGCATATTTGTTTAAATTTTTAGTTTGGGGGATTTTTTTTTTTAATTTACAAAGAGTTTTACACACTTGAGCTCACTGCTTTCTCACAGCAACTCTGGAAATGATCACAATTTTTATTGTCATGTCCATTTTACTAAGGACAGAGCTATTGGAGAGACTGAAATTCTTGCCAAATGACAGCACCACCCAGCTCATGGCTGTCTGACTCTCTGATCCCTGTTACCTGACAGGTCCTGAGTGCCATCTTTGGAAACAGATGGTTTACACACATAGACCTACTTTACCTCAATTGCTCCTACATGTTCCTTCCTGTTGCCCCTGAAACTTCACCTTTTGATTGGTTTGTTTCCTGGTAGCCAATGGCCACAGTGGTATTGTGAGGTTTTCCCCATCACATAGACAGGGCTCTGGGACTGCTGCGCCTCAGCACACGGGCCTGATGTAAGCACTGACTCTGGTGTTGGAAACTGAGAATTACATCACCCTACCCAAGAAGCAAAGAAATAGGTTTCAGGGCTCTGCCATTAAATCTTCACAGATACTTACTCAGAAGCATAAAGAAGGCATACATTCAGATTGCAAAGTTGTGGTTCATGACACCGAAATTATTAATAAAGGTTGATTAAAATAGATTTTCAAGACTCAGAAAAATAATAGAGCACCCAAAATCATCCTGGCTCTTTTATTCCTTTATTCTTCCATTGGCAGGTGATCCATGGGTACAGTGGGTGTGAGCATCATACCACAAAACAGGGAGAATGGGAGACAAAGCCAGGTGGGAGATGTTGTGTAGATACCAACAACCAAGCAGAGGAAATGCGTACAACTAACACCAAGAAATCTCATCATGCACAGCAGCTGACTTAAAAAAAAAATCTCCTTTATGGGTCATTGAATTGGAATCACTGAAAGACAGATGGAAAGCATTTCAGAGACTATGGTTCATGTGGAAGCCCCCCCCCCCCCACACACACCATTTTGAGTTAAACCTTTGGAAGAAGCAGAGACAGGCAGACCAAAGCAGGATCCTGGGCTCCAGAGCTGGTGCCCTGCTGGTTGGGCTGCTGCCCTTAATTCTCTGCCTATTCACATCACCTCCATTTAGAGAGATGATGGCTCTCAGTCCTCTGGGAGTCTCCTTACTAGACTATTTTAATAAAATAATCCTAACATCAGGCACAATGCCAAGGGTTTTGCACATCACAAGGTTCCACATTCAGGGAAGCACCATGAGCAAGAGTTATGAGAACAGTTTCCGGGCAACCAAGTTGGACTCAGCAGTGTCACCTGGTCTCCCTGAAGGTCTCATCAACAGCCTCTGGGCTTCTGACTGTCTCCCTTACTCCCCTGGCTCTCTGTGCTTTACTCATCCCGGCAGTGTGATATCACTGTGTGATCCTAGAGGAGGGGGCTTACAATGTCTGCATCTGTATTGAGCAAAGCAGCCACTGGCCACATGGAGTTATTTAAACTTAAAATATGACTGACAGCTAGTTCCTCAGTTTCACTACACAGTCAAGTGGCCAAGAGCCACAGGGGTCTAATGATCAGCATATCAGAAGGCACTTGAATATTTTCAGCATTTCAGAAAGTTCTAGTGAACTGTGTTGTCTTATGGGATCTGATCCTTATGAACTCGAGTGTATTCTCTTTTACGTACAAGAACCCTCTGTTGTTCCTCCAACATGCCAGGTGTGCTCATGCCTGCCTCAGAGACTTTGCACTTGCTGTCCCTTGGTCTGAAACACTTCCCCAACAAACACACATGGCTAGCCTCCTCACCTCAGGAGGGGCTTTTGCTCCAACTGTTATTTCTCAACAGAGCTTTCCCTGGATGCTGAAGAGATTGTCTCTGTCTCCGTAACGCCTCTATTTTTTTACTTGCTTGGGGTTTCTCCTCTCCATCTCAGTAGTACCGACTTTCTCAACTCCCTTATTCTAAGCACCCAGAGGGGAGAGATCTGTGCCTACTTTGTTTGCAGCTGTATCTTAAGCACCTAGAAAATTAACCAGCACATGAGAGGACCCAATGCACCTTTGCTGAATAAATGAAGACTAAATTATGCTATGTGCATGTATGAATATATCACAATCCATTTCCAATTTTAAATATAACTATAATGCACCAATTAAAAATAAATAAATAAATAGAAGGAAGACCAATAGAGCAGAAGAAGGGAGGAGGGGGGAAAAAAGAGGAAATTCTAAGGATCAAATTGGATCAAATCTGATGAATATATTAAAATGAACCCCACTGTAATATAATTATAATATAATATAGTTATAATGCATTAGAAAAAAATAAGGATTCACCTGTTGTCTTACCAAACATGAAAAACAACAACCAAAGTGGCAAAACTCTCAGAATCTGGGCAAAATACACTGGGGTGGCCAAAGGATATGTGGGATTTATCATTGCTCATAAATATGCTGCATTTAGTCCTCTTGCTTGACCTGCGCCTGCTCGTACCCTACCCTGAAATGCCCTCCTATGTTCTCCAGAACATACATCCTCACCATTCACCCAGGTGAGACCACTGGGTTTGGAGGGGTGGTAAGAATGATGACTTGGCCAGGTTCAAGGCTGCCTTACC